TTTTGGGGAGAATACACTGACCACCAGCAATGAAAGGAGCCCCGACTCACATCTGTGATGGCCTTCTTGGCCTTCTCTTCAGCATTGCGGGCTTCCTGGATGGTATCCTCCATTTCGCTCTGAATCTGAGAAATGTCCGTCTCCAGCTTCTTCTTGGTGTTGATCAAGCTGGTGTTCTGTTGAAGAAAAGGACACGTTCTTTCATTCAGTTACTTTATACCATGTTTAGAGAAATCAAATTGCCTATTTCTATGAAAAAGGCAATTTGTTAATAAATGACAATGGTAGACTGATGAAGAGTAATTGACATAATACTATTAAAAAAGGAAAACCAAGCTATTGACCATTTCAATTCTCTAAGAACTGTAGGTGTTATAGGTATTAAAGTCTAGAACTTACCTGAGTGTGGAGGAGCTGCACACGTTCAGTGGCATCCAGGAGCTCCTGCTCAGCCAATTTCCTCGACCGCTCCGTCTGCTCCAGGGCTGCCCGTAGCTCCTCCACTTCAGCCTGCAGCAGGTTTGCTCTGCGCTCCACCATGGCCACCTGCTCCTTCAGGTCATCCTGGGTCCTGAGAGCATCGTCCAAATGGATCTGTGTGTCCTTGTAAGGAAAAAAAGAGATTGGGAGGCGTATTTTTCACATTCTCCTATTTTCCATTTTAATATCAATATAGAAATGATAGAATTCTAAAAGTCGGAAAATTTTTAGCTGTGGAACGAGTTGAGCAAGCCTGCACCTGCAGATTCAGTTTATTAGAACCAAAAAGTATTTTGATCAAGTGTTTTGCTCTTGATCATGTTTTGACAAAGAGAGTGTTGTGTTCACAAAGCAGAAAACCACTTATCAGTCTGCAAGATAACCTGCATGGTTTATACAATCACAGAATGATAGTGTGTGAATGTGTGAGATCCAAACATCAGGTCACCAAAGTACTGGGAATTATTGTTAACTGAATGGCAACAGTTGGTGCTGTTTACCCAAAGAAGTTAATAAAAGGGGAATGCGGAGAGAGATCTGTGGAGGATCCTGAAAACCGAATGGTGTGTTTGTGCAGTCCCATTCCTTCATCGTCAATATTTAGCTGTGTCAGAAACCAGTGAGAACCTGGGTTTTTGTACCGTACCTTGAGCACTCCTTGGGTGTTTCTCAGGTTCTTTTGCGCCTCGGCAGCCACACGGTTGGCATGGCTGAGCTGGATCTCCATTTCATTCAGGTCTCCCTCCATCTTCTTCTTCAGCCTCAGGGCTTCGTTCCTGCTCCTGATCTCAGCGTCCAGGCTGCTCTGCAACGACTCTACAATTCTGAGGTGGTTTCTCTTCATCTGGTCGATCTCCTCATCTTTCTCTGCTATCTTCCTGTCAATCTCAGACTTCACCTGGTTGAGCTCAAGCTGCAGGCGCAGGATCTTCCCCTCTTCATGTTCCAGAGAGGCCTGGACAAGTGGACACAAGCGTGGGGAACACTGATAAACCTCCTGCTTGCTT